AAAACAAAAATTTTTCAATTTTCATTTTCAAATTCTTATCTAATTTTAATTYAAATTCTTTAGAAATTCTTAAACAAAAAAAATATTGTTTTTTATGTATTAAATTACATTTTTTTTTGGAAATCCCCAACAAAATGTTATCTCAAAGTTAGCTACAGGGTTTTGAAAATTTAAACGAATATTTTAATTAAAAAAATTGGTATAGTTTTTTTTTGTTTTTTAATATTTTCTGAAATAATAAAACAATGTTATGTGTATAAATTTACCTTTTTTGATATTTTTTCGAAATTTTAATTTTTTTGATTTTTTCAAACTCATAATTCTTTTGGCTCACAGCATTGCTAACACAGGCTTGTTGACAGTTTTTAGAGTTCGAATTCAATTTATTTTTTTTTTTTTTGGGAATAAAAAATATATAACAATAAAAAGCACATAGAGTTCGATGTTCAAACAACAAAAAAATTAAAAATGGAATTTAATTTTCTATTTCAATTTAATTTTTTTTACAATAATTTTTGCAAAAATGATAGCATAGAGGAGTTAATTTAAAATGCCAATAGGAGGCACTTCATTACCTAGTTTAGAAAATTAGTAAAATATTTATTTCATAAAAAGGCAATTTTATAAAAAAGAAAAAGGAATCATACAAAAAATTTGAAAATTACTATGGACATATGTATATAATTTTTGTAATCAAAATTTTAGTGAAAATTTAAAATACATAGTACATTTAGTACTATGTGTACTAATAGTAGATTTGTAAATTTTTCGCTTATTTTAGAATAAGCTTGTTTAATAAAGGGTTTTACAACAAAAAACTACCCAAAATCCTCACATTAGCACAACACGTACTTCCAGTTATACACACATACATATTTACATGCGTAATTATATGTTTAGAAAATATCTACGAAATTTTAATCGAAATTTGTAACGCTCCAACCAAACTCAATACCTTTTTCTCTCGCTCTCTCCGCTCTTTTGTTTTCTTCTTTTGTTGTTTCTTTGGTAAACGTATGTGCGCTAACATATGCCTCAATCCAAAACTCCAAAACCAAATTTGGTGACGCATCCCAACCCAAAAACGGCTAACAAACTAACTAAAACCCGCACTCGCCACTCGTCACTCGCTCGTTTATGTGTAACGAATGTGTGCAATCATAAACCAAACCAAAAATAAAAACAAAAAAACGGTATTCGAATTTGTAAATCGAAATTTACAGCAACTACTACTGTGCGCCACGCAGAGCCTCTTTACTTGTGATACACAGCAAGGTGGCGCCGCACAGGCCAACGGCAGTTCACCAACATCCATACAGGTATGGGGGGAAATTAATTTACTACTAACAAACTACATTAACTAAATGAACGAATTTTTGATTATGCAGAAATTTCCTCTTTCTTAAAATCGCATGCAATTTTTGAGCGCTCACCATTACCGCTCAATTGCACTCACAAAAATGCTCAAATTATATAAACTAACCTATTTCCTCTGTTTGTTTTTTTTTTCTAACAACACAGGCACCCGCTCCACCACCCATCATCGATTGCAAATCAAATCCACCCGCCTACTCGTTTGTCCAAGGCTGGCAGTTGCTCTCACTCGCCGTCTCGCTGTTTGTACCCAAATCGAGCCGTCTTCTATGGTATCTGAAGCTGCATCTCTCGCGTAATGCAGACACGAAAACTGAGACGGGTAAATATGCCGCGTATTGTGAGCGCGCATTGGAGCGTACATTGAAGAATGGCGGCCGCGAGACGAAGCCCTCTCGCATGGAAGTGCTGTCTATATTGCTGAAGAATCCATATCATCACTCACTGCCACACGCCATACCGGTGCACATGATGAACTCCACTTATCAGGTAAGTGAAATTTGTGCTGAGCGTCTAAAATTTTAGCAACGCTGTCATGTTCCTTTTTAAGCTACTTCCTTAAAATTTTCGTATTCAAAAATAAATCCAAACTTTTTAGAAAGAACAAAAATCTCCCCCCTTTTTACATTCTCCATACCGTTATAAGTCGAAAAAACCCCAAGTAACTTCGCATTTTCGGTTAGATTGGATTTGATCTTCTATTCATCCGTCAGCTTTTTAATGATGTCCTCTCTCTTTCAAACCATTTTTTCAGGTCGTCTCTTTCGACGGCTCGACTACAATTGAAGAGTTCCAAACTACACTCGCACAGGAGATTGGCACACGCGACGCCACCAATGGTTTCTGTCTCTTCAGCGACGATCCGATCGAAAAGGATCTCGAACACTATCTCGACCCGCTCGCTAAACTCTGCGACGTTATCTCAAAGTGGGAGACTGCTTTGCGCGAAAAAGGTTCTGGTAAATTCGAAAATACACGCGTCATACAATTGACCTACAAGAATCGTCTGTATTGGCGGCACACAGTCAAATTTGAAACGGACAAGGAACGTCTGCTATTTTGCTACCAAACAAATGCACAGATAGTGCAGGGGCGCTTTCCGTTGTCGCGCGATCTAGCGCTCGAGCTGGCTTCGCTGATGTCACAAATCGACATGGGCGACTACTCGCACGAGAAATCACGTGGCACGGGTAGTAATGTTGGCATCAAAGCGCTCGATAAATTCTATCCCTACCGCTATCGCGATGCGCTCAGTGCCGAGCAGCTGAAGGAGGTGCAAGAGCTGCTCATCTCGAAGTGGATGCTGCTCAAGGGACGCTCAACGCTCGACTGTGTGCGCATCTACTTGACATGCTGCCGCAAGTGGCCCTACTTTGGCGCCAGTCTTTTCCAAGCCAAACCGCGGCATTCCGATCAAGCCATGGCCTGGTTGGCCGTTTCCGAGGATGCGCTCAATGTCCTCGAGCTTAGCTCGATGACGCCAATGGCACGTTATCCCTACACCTCGGTGATGACTTTTGGCGGCTGTCAGGATGACTTCATGCTGGTCGTCTCCAACGAGGATACGCTGGCCACGTGCGGTACACAAGAGCAAAAGCTGCTCTTCGCTATGAGCAAACCAAAGATACTCGAAATAACGCTTCTAATCGCCGACTATATGAATGCTCTTGGCCACACCGTGCCCGGTACGCCACAAATGAATACGCTCACCCGCAATGGCTCACATCGTTCGCTACGTTCACGTCCCGCTGGCGGTGGCACTGGTACCGGCACCGGCACGGGCACAGGGCTCGCTGGTTGCGGCACCACCACAGCCGGCATGTCCACCAATGCGACCACAACGGCGCATAACACGCTCAACTCGCATGCCACGCACACGCTCAACTCAACACATTCACATACGCTGAGCTCGTCACACTACAGTGGCGGCGGTGGTGGCATCGGTGGTACACATGTCGGTAGTCATCAGGGTACCATGAGCTCATCACACGGACACACGCATCACCATCAGCCGGATATATTAAAGAGTACGCCCGATCATCAGCGCATCAAGTAGAGCAAACGTAAGTGTAAATAGACTAGTGTAGACATTAGGTGGTTATTTATTATTATTGCGCGCCAAAAAGTATGTTAAGTTTACGATTTAGGGATCAGTGAGCCAAGAGCGCTATTTTATAATCAGTTAAACTATTTCTATCAAGCCGAAGTAACTAGCCTACATCCCCCATTCGAGCTATCAAACTTTGCACGCCCAGGTTTCGATGGTAAATCAAAAAAACCGTATTTCGACTAAACGAAGCACATAATTGCCGCGAGGTAAAAAAAAAAACAAAATTTCTTCTCCGAAGTAAAAATTTATTTTCATATAGAAAGCACCAAAACTCTGCGAAGTTTTTGTGAAAAGAGGGCGATAGGTAACGCTTACAAAAAAAAAACAGCTTTTACTGACTTTAAATATTTATCTACATCCAAAGTGCTCCAAAAGCTTTGTGGAGCTTTTATAAAGCTTTTGAAGAAATAACGACATTTTCATTACTGGGCTCGGAAGTCTTCCAGTGCCAATGAAGTATTCCATTTAACCCTAAACGCTATAACGAAAAGTCCCAAAAGTTTTCAATCGTATCTAATTGTACATTATACTCGTAACTTTCTTCTTTTAATTTATGACGAAGCTATTAAAAATTATCATAGGTTATTTACGAAAGTAATGTCAAGAATCGAAAGTTGAACTGCTATGTTTCCTATTTATAAAACAATAACAAAAAAAGTTGAAGAAAAATGAAAAACACAAATTTTAAAAGGCTTTATAACGGTAGTTTGATGCTGCTAAAGCACTAGCAATTAAGATGGAAGCTTTTATGTATTATTTTTATGCATATGTATCCCTTCATATATTAGAAAAAAACGGCAACTTTAATAATTTATGAAAGCTCAGTAAAGCCCAGTACCCTTTCACTGGCTTTTACATTTCTTTAAAGCTTACAAAATAGTTGCGAACTGTCTTAAAACTAATTTTTCTCATGTTTTTTTATTCAAGTTTTTCCATTCTTAACGTTTAAATAGTTTTCGAAAGCTTTTGCGTAAAACAACTCTGCTATAAAAACTCATATATGTAGCTTTAAAGCTTGATTGATGTAAATTATAAGCCTGCCTTAAATTGTCCACAATTTGATTAAAAATGTATGTATTTAATATAAAAAGTGAATGGCAACTTTAAAAATTTTTCGAAGCTTCTGACATTTTATTGAAGGCGCGAATTTTACGTAAATGTAAACATTTGAATGTCTTTACACAACTTTAAAAAGCTTTTTGGAAACTAAACTAGTTTTTACGTAAAAAATCTGCCATAAATTTTTTTGTTAAAAACATAGTAATTTTAGAAAGTTTTTCCAAAGCTTTCAAGCTTGTATCTTTGCTTAAAAGCTTTGACAGAAATTGTTTCGTGTTACGTAAGTTTGATTTGAATGTTTTTAAGCCATTTTTTTAAAGCTTTTTAGTTTTGGAAAGCTTTTTCAGAGCTTTCGGCTTCAACAAAAGCTTTGTCTCTTTTGGGGTAAATTATTTGCTAATGACTGTATAATTTAATGTCTAGCTTTAGTTAGCTGCAAAGTACCGTTACCAAAGCTTACGAAATGTGAAATCAAAACGAATGTGAGTATAAATACAAGCAAAGACACATACAAATGTATATTTCATAGTTTTGTTGCACTCATTGTTATGCTGAAAGTCACAAATAGTATTTTTGCTTATTACTGGAAAGGAAATTTTCACTACAAATTTATTATACATACTTATATATTATATATTTGAACATATACACTAAATGTATTGTAAAATAAAACAAAATATTAATTATACTACATGCAAAACATAAAACATTGAATTGCTGAAAAGGTTGAAGAAAAATAGCGATTAAATTTTAGAACAAATAGTATTAGCTTAAAATAAAATAAGTAATTATTATTATTATTGTATATGTAACTGTTTGTATGACATTTTGTCCCGCTGCGTGACATGGCGATATATTTAGCTAACTGGCTTACACAAGTACTCATATTATATATTAAATATATATACATATACATATATATACAAAATAAATTTAAAATACTAAATTTAGCATTGTAAATAATTTATAGTAAACATTTAAACAAATGAAAATTGTATGTGTCGGAGTAATTTTTGTAAACATTTCCAAACTCGAATTTGTCTCTACATACACAAAAAGTAAAACATTACACAGAACAAAATCATATAATATAAGCGTTAGAAATCGAGCGAATTCGGATATTTACATATAGTACATACAAGCATACGAGCAATTAAATATTTGGCAAAAAAGAATTCACGAAAAAGTCACCTCAACACAATCTTTAACCCTTTAAGCTCACACGTGGTAATTTAAAAAATATTTATAATTTATTTTTCGACTATAAACAAAGAATTTTTTTTTAATTTTTTGGTCAGAAAATTAAATTAATTTAAACTTTTTTTGTAAAAATGGTTGGTGATAAAAAAAACTTCAAAATNATACAAATTTTAATAAATAAAATATAATAGTTGACGATTTTTTTAACTTCTTTGAGTCGATCACATCCTTTCCAATGTTGTTTATTGCAGGGACCAAAGCAGCTGGTTCTTAGGCGTGAGATATTATTCTATCATTTTCGCCAAATCAAAAGCTGAAGAGTATTTTCAAAATTGTGGTTCCTTAAAAAAATTCTTCAATAAATACATACATATTTAATAACCACTGATAGTGAAAAAACTATTAGTGGGAAATAGCCGTTACTGTCAAAGTCATTTAATACCTGTCTCTTATACACATCTGGTTTCCAGCTTCTATTGCTTATAATTTCATTATTACTCATCCGATTTGGATGATTGAGGTGTCAAATGAAAGCTTTGGGCTTGGCGCAATTAATGGAACATAATTTATTAATATTTTATGTGATGATCTATGTGATATTTATGAAATAAAAAGAGAAGAGTATTTATGCAACAAAAATGCAATAAAAGTAGTTAAAAGCAGCACGAAATATATGAGTCGATGAACATAATTCCTAGAAGAGATCTGCAGAGTGAACAGGCGTTATAAAAACCTTGCGATAATGCTGTAATTATGCAAGTTTTTAAAGCAAGCAGTTTTTAAGTATTTTTTGGGATTTTTGTTCTAAAAAATATGTCGAATGTCATACTTACGTATAAAATATATTTATTATCAACTTCTGGTTATTAAAAATTAATTGTTTTGATTAAAACAACCGGTTTATATTTTATACATCATTTTTTTATTATTTTAAACTGTTTTTAGTATTGTATATGTAATTTTTATATTAGAAACACAATTTTAGACGATATTCTTTTTTATTGACTTTATTTAATTAATTCAGGCTAATACATTTTACTTCATTTTATATTATTTTTTCTTTGCAATTTGAAATTTTTGAAAAACTTGAAAACAAAAAATAAAAATATTAAAATTGCCCGAAGTGTTTGTTTTCAATTAATAATTCATTTAATTAATTTGTTAATAGATCTATTTATATGCATAGATATACACATGTTTATAGTTTTTACTAATTAATTTTTGTTAAATTCTTATTAAATGCAATTTTCATATTAGTTTTTATAAAACTATGTTATATATAATATATCAAAGTATAGTGTAGTACCATAATATATATATATCTGTCTCTTATACACATCTAGATGTGTATAAGAGACAGTGTATACACTTATATATAAATGAACATTGTATAACGCCACTATATATATATATAATATATATATTATATTTGCTATATAAGTATGTATGTAGTCATAAAAAAATACTAAGAAATAAACGAACAACGCGTACTCCACTCGCAATTAATATAATATTATGTATTTATTATAATGTTTATTATAATTTTTTGTTTGTAAGTAGCAGGGCAATAAACCAAAATAAAACCAAAAAATAAATAAAAAGTATATTACATAAAAACCATAAACATTCTTATTATTATTTAAAGAAAACGGAAGGTAAGTAATTTTTCAAAAAATATAAATAAAAACAGTGCTGCAATATTGTTAACCGAAAAACATAGGGACTTAACCTCATTTCCTTTAAAAATTTAAAGCTTTTCCCCGTCTGACATGAATTACGTATTCAGAAGTGCTGAATTTCACACTTATTTGCATTTGAGAGGCTGCGCAAATACACAACCTTTCATATGGCACCTCAATCATCCAAATCGGATGAGTAATAATGAAATTATAAGCAATAGAAGCTGGAAACCCCACCCCCGACCCGCTTTTGGTAGTGAATCTCCACTGGCTGTTTTGAGCTGCGCTTTTGCAAAACTGACGCTCTCTTTTTATTATCTACTTTTTATACCATTAATTTCATTATCCTGAGCATTTTTCTGCATAGAATAACGCTTTCAGTTTTCTTTTTAAAATAACATATTAAAACATTGAAGTTTAGTAAACCAAAATGCCTGTCTCTTATACACATCTATATATACAAAATAAATTTAAAATATTAAATTT